CCAGACACAGAACAAATAATTGTGCTGATGACACAATTATTTGTCCTGGGTGGGAATCGAACCCACGACCTCCGTCTTAGCAGTCAGGGTCACCTAGCCATTTGGCCAGCAGGCCATCAATAATATGTAAATATTTAGAAATATATAAAAAAGTTTATTTAGAAATAAATGTGCTAGGTTGGCGGCAATAAGCTTCGCATCGCTATAACTTGAGTAGGGGTGGAATTATATTCAACTAGCTTTTGCGCGGGGGTCCGCCCGCCCTAAAGTAGCCTATGTCCTTTTCAAGAACCAAACTATCTTTATAACAAATTTTTATATAAATCGTTTCGGCGGTTATGGTTTCCTCATAAAAACTTCCACCCCCCTTGTCACCCATTAAAAGGATGATTTTATGGAATAAAAACTGTTTTAGTTCCTTTCCCGGGACTCAAACTATCTCTATACCAAAATTTCATATAAATCGGTTCAGCGGTTTAAGCGTGAAGAGGTTACAGACAGACAGACAGACACGTATGGATATGGATTACAGACATTTAATCTCTCCCCTCATTCAATCCTCTATCCAACCCTTCGGAGATAAAAAAATGTGACTGTATGTTTGTATGTGTATAGACCTGGGGGCAAGGTAGTGCCCCGCCAAGAGGAGCCAAGCGAAGCACAAGGGCACTACCTACTTTTTCTAGAAGTGCTTCGTCGTTTTTTTTCAACTCATAACTTAAGTTTGGACTACACCTAACCTAAATTTTCGTAATATGATGTCAATAGTTCATCATTGCAGGCATATATGTATGGATATGTGTGTGTATGTTTATGTTTTTTTATATTTATAGTATTATACAGTACGTATAAATTATATTTACATCTATATATATACAGTATAGTATATCTGTGTAGTATAACATCTTGCAAAGGACTACAATTCAAATAATTTATCTCATTATACACCTGCCACACACAAATCTCTGCATCACCGCAAGGTTGACTGGAAGAAAATGCCTATGGCATTAAGTCCGCCTTATGCAATGTATTTCCAGGAATTATAAATAAATAGTAACACATGTTTTGACCAAAGTGTAGAGTTTATAAAGTTACGGGTTGTAGAGTTAAGGCGTGTAGAATTTAAAAGTTAGCCTCTACATGAGATCTGATAACTTTTTGACAGTTCGAGCCATAAGGTCTCGTCTTAGTAACATTTGTGTTTTTTTAGTAGAATATAGTATATTCAAATATTTACAAAGATTGGAAATCGAAGCCGTGACCTCACGGTCGCACTACATAGGTCGTCCAAACAAACATCAATAAACATTTTGTTACTGCCCGAGTGGCGCAATATTTTAAGTGGTGCTACTATAGCGCGCAGACTATTGTGGGTTCAATTCAGGACCTAAACTTTTTTTGCTGTGAAACGTCAAATTACGAATATTTGACGTTTCACAGCAAAAAAAGTTACACAGGAACCATAATTAGTACACCTAGTTATTCTTAAAATACATTTTAAAAAATGAAGATGAACAGCCCTGATAAACCTTCGCTCATAACTGCAACAGTAATTACCTACAATGTCACCCCTCTTCATCACGAAGCAACCTTACCCACCAAAACATCATGATCGTAGAATAATGCCGGTTTTGAAAAACATACGAAATTCAGTTTTAACCATATTTGAATACTACATTGTCTAATATTATTACTACATTCAAGAAAAAATTATATGTATTTTAGATTGTTGTTGATAGGCGCTCAAAGTAAAATGAAACATGTGATTTTTCTAGAAAATCGCATAATTAATAGTTGTTATTTTAACCCCTATTTCTCACTTTTATGTCAATTTTCATAAGTACAGATTTAGAATTAAAAAGGTTATGTCAAAAAAATTACATAATTATTGAAATGGCTGCCCAATAAAGTTCAATAAATGTCAGATTCGAAGCTTTTCTACGACTAGGAGGAAAAGAAATGCAACAGTAAACTAATACCCGTTTATATCATTGCTTTTTTGATGAGAAAATAAATAAAACAGCAAATCTATTTATATAATTTATTAGTACAAAAATACAAATTAACATTTTTATTTACATAAACAAAATCTAATTCATATTTTATGGCAAATTAAAAACATATTTCATTTCAGGTTCAGTTATGGTAACTTATGTTTTATTTTAATTATTTACACATTTATTTTCATTGTTTTTTGTTTACCTTCTCATATTCTTCTTTCATGTATATTGTATAATCATCAACATTATACGGTCAATATACTATTTAAAATAAAAAAATTTGCTATAATACATCTAAAGAAAAAAATAATATAATTATTAAAAGAAAAGAAGAAAAATGTAATTTTAATAGAAGAAGCATAAAGACCTTATTATTTAAGGTTCATATTCAGATTGAGATGGAGATAATGGGAGTTTTCTACTCAAAATTGCAATTCTCTGTAGTAGGACCATGTTCCTCTCCACAATCCTATAACCCGACATCATATAAAATGACAATTGGGTTACTTTCATTTTATTAAATTCATAAGTTACCATGACAATAATAATTTCATTTTCTTAACTGGTAATATTAATCTCGTTTAAAAAAAAAACACCCAACCCGTCTGGCCAGCGTGGTATAGTAGGCCAAAACCTCCTTTCTAAGGAGAGGCCTATGTCCAGCAGTGGACTATTATATGCTGTTGATGATACAAAAAAACATTATGCTTCTTCTTTTGATACGACATATGTCTGTAATAATTTTGTATACTAAGTATAATTATGCTAGTTAAAATACAAAACAGTTGGGTAGCTCGAGGTGCCAAAAGGTTCTGGACTGGGGACAACGGACAGAACGTCCACCAAGAAGGTGAAATAATGAACTTCTGAAGATTCAATTACAATAAACTATTTCATACAATCTATAAAATAAATCAAAACTAGCAACTTAGTTTAAAAGTTTGACGTGGTCTTACATATTTTTTACACAATCTTTGAACACAAATCTGTTTTAAAAGGAACTCAATCATGCTAATTTTGTAAGTCATATTTGTGAACTCGAATGTGGCAACACTGTGAGAGGGCTGTCAGTTTTGTCCATTGTCTTGTTATATCTTCTGTCATAATTGCTTTTTTGGTTAACGTTTTGTTGTCGTTTTAGCCTGGCTGTCAGTCTTCGTCTGTCATGTATATTGTCGTATGAGTTACCTCTGAAAAAATTAAGTGATGACGTCATTAATTTTGTCAGAAACGCTAAGTTGCATAAATTGTTTAAGATAGATGTTAAATTAATTTTAAGATAGACTAAAAACTGGAAGATATTGTTTTTTAATGTTTGTTACTCGTTTATTTTAAAAGGTCAATAATTTAAAATATTTTTTTTTACAGTAATTTTTTTGATTAAGTAAACACGTATTTTTATGGCGTCATTGGACGAAACTTCAAATGCAATATTTTTATTAAGCAACATTAAATCAATTTCTATTATAAATTTAACAAAGAAGTATAACAAAGATGTATATAATTATAGGGATAGATGTATTTGCTTAAAAAAAAATACATTTTAACTAATAATTATAAAGTTTTTTTTTCAGATTGTGCATTTAATTTTAATTAAATATTAAAAAGAAAGAAAGAAGTTGTACTTAAGTAAGTGTATGTTATAAGTTACTTATTATGTTTGTCTTAACTAAATAAGGGATGTAGTACAAAGGACAAATTCAATTTATCCTAAAAGCACATTAACGCCCTCAGTGTCTACTTACATTAAACTAATATACCTATTCCTTTATAAATATCGACGGCCTTTTTCTGTCACAGAGAATTAGTATTGCATTTCAACGTGGCAATGTTGCCAGCCTTCTGGGAACGCTACCAGTTGGGGTGGAATTTTTTAACGCTTGTGTGTTAATATTTTACATATTTTTAAATTTATTTTATTACTTTTGTATCTATATATTAATGTATGACGAAAATTCTCTGTACCCCTTTCAAATAAATGTGACACATAAAACCATAATATCATATTTGGAATTTTATATTTAATGTAACAAACTCATTGTTTTGAACAATATCTCCATTAAAGTTAAAATTTACGTAAAAACGGTCATATAAAATTATATTGGTAGTATTTTGACCTGTCATGATATCAAAAGTCTGTACAATGATAGCTTATAATTAGACTGGTCATAAGAGCTAAAGAAAACATTAGTGTGCAAAATTTATTTAAAGTAATTGTACTATTTATCGCGAGATGGCGCTTAGTGTCACTAGTTATGATTATTTATGTCTAGATGGCGTTACTAGTACTTTGATTACATTGATTTTTCTGACATGTATGATTTTTATGCCCAATGTATATTATTGCTGAACCAAGATATAAAACGGCAAAATAATCTAATTTATTACTTCTTCACGTTAATTTTCTATATGTAATTCTTCCTCAAACATAGTTAACTGTGATCAAATTATCCTAAACTGTCATATAAACTTTGTCGTGCATGAGTCAGCATCAGCAGTAGCAAATTGACTCATTATTATTCTATAAGTATTATGTTTCGTATGAAAAGACAACTCCCCCACTGAGAATAAATCCTGTGTCGCGGGGGACTTTACAAACATAAATGAGACGGACACAAACAACTCCCAGCCTTAGCACAAGAATTCGCAGATCATACAAAATGTGTCTACGAAGTCTAGTCTAGTGTCCCATGTGGAAATCGAATCCACAAAACTCAGTTCAATAGGCAAAGGCGAGGAGACCACTTAAACTACTACGCCATCCATGCAGTTAATTTAACAAATGATTCTGTTATTATTCTAGTATGTATTTAATTTTTAGTTTCGATTTATGATATCCACCAAATAGCACTGAGATAAGTGCTACCATCTATTATTAAGTCCTAGTATTAAGTATTAGTCAAGTAACGCCATCTAATGGTAAAAGTTGACATCGAACGTTTCGCCTTTTGTAAAATGTATTTTATTAGTCCCTTATCTCTATTTGTCTCTTCAAATACTCTACTTTTTGCCAATAATAAAGTTGCCAGCTTTGTCCTTGTATAGGTCTTCGTTGATGGAGTAGTATGATGCTGAGTTCTGACAGTCAACCTGGAAGGAATATCAAGTAATAAGTAGAAGTAGAACTTTTAAATATAAAGTTCGATACCTGGTTTCAAACCTGTCAAAAGTTATTGCCAGTTTTTTTTTAAGTAAACGAGCCGACATGTCACCTGATTGTAACTATAATAATAATAATAAACCGCACACATCTCACACACGGCCGTCTGATCCCAAACTAGGCAGAGCCTGTGCTATGGTAACCAGACTGCTGATAAACATACATATATATTTCTAAATACATACATTTTATAGATAAATTATACCCAGACAGTGTCCGTGTAGTGACGGATTAAGAATACGAAATTTCACTACCCCAATTCATCCCGTGGGTGTCGTAAGAGCCGACTAAGGTCGCAAAACAACGCAGGACACCAGCACTGCAAAAAGAAGGAAAACTTGACACAAACCACCCCGTATGACCAATAGACCAACCCGGCTGGCCAGCGTGGTATAGTAGGCCAAAACCTCTTTTTTATCGAGAGGCTTTTAAGGCTGTTGATGGGATGTGATACCCAGACACAGAACAAATGACCGTGCTCATCACACAATATTTGTCCTGGGTGGCATCAAACCCACAACCTTCGGCTTAGCAGTCAGGGTCACTAACCACGAGACCAATAGGCGGACACTCTCGTGGACACTTATAACTGAAGAATCACAAAAGCGTTACATTTGAGCCCCTCCCCACAATTGAAAAAGAAAAAGGAGTTGAAGCTCACTCACTCAGAAAAGTGCTTGGCAAAAAGTGGCCTTAAATATTCCTTTAAAACCTCCGTGAAGTGTTTTTTTTTCAATAAAATAGATTTCTGACAATATAAAGTAATTCTGATTAGATAGTATAAAATAAAAAGAAATACGTACATTGAAGAAGAAATCACAGACTCTTGTCCTCTGGTTGAAGGCGGTGCCTGGTGCGCAGATGAAGGAGTACAGCCTGTTAGCACCTATGGTGGGAACACACCAATGCCACACCTGGATATTGAAGAGTTGCTAATTAAAACGTTTTGTTAGGAAAGGTGTCTGATATTAAATAAATAAGTAAAACTTTATACAGTGATTTTCTAGCTGTTTTAAAATGGCATCAAGGGATGGGAATGGGAGCACGACTGAAAAATGTGTAACAAGGCTTTTTGCCGACACTTCTTGCTATAGTTACAGCCGTGTATAAACTATATACATCACCGCACACAGCTCTTCCGCTCGCTGAAAGACTCGTTAGCTCTCTAATCTTCGGCTTTTTAATATAACCTAATTATCCCTGATCATTCAGTGTTTAATTTATCATTATTTATTTAATACATAATAAATATATTTTATCATAAACTTTTCAAGCCCCTTTTTTTCCGTGCACGCCTTTTTCTGATGCAATGCTATGGGTGTGACGCTTTTACAACTTTGCTTAACGTTAATTTGTTGCTCGCCGAAATTATGACAACCTGGAGCGATTGATGTTGTCTGGAAAGGTAGAAGGGAAGATACTCAGAGGCAGAAGTTCCAGAAGATGATCAGACCAGATCGCTGAATAGATGGAAATATCAATAAGTATCGCACTCCACCAAACGACTGATCGGAACCGATGGAAGCAGATGGTTGACAGGATGAAAGAGAGTCACGATCCTCAGCAGTGAGGCAACGATTAGGAAGGAAGAACGTTAATTTGAAGATATCAAATCAGGGCCTCAATTCTGCTATTTTATGTTCACGCCAAGCCACTGTCATACCACTGACACGCTATTGAGATGCCATCGAGTGGCCATTGGCCACATTGGGTGCCTGTAAAAAGCACCCGACGTTTTTTTCAAATTTATTTTCTATTTTTTAGTTAGGTTTTCTATAGAAAGCGTGTTTTTTAGTTTTTTAAAACTATTTTTTTTTCTTTTTTTTTAAATTAGTGTATTGTCATCGGTCCTCGACATATCTACAAACTTTGAACGAATTCTGACCATTTAAAGTCAGTCAAAATCACGCCCAAAGGAGACAAACAAACAAACATACAAGTGAAGCTAATATAAAGCGTGTAAAATTGTATTGAAGTGTAAATCAATGAAATCGCTGTACTGATTTACCACCTTATATTCTTGCTTCGCAGTGTTACACATTAGTGCAAATTCTGTTGTTCGAAAACTATCTAAACTAAACTAAAAATCACTAAAAATTAATTTAGTCCTGTCAAATAAAGTTTGGGATTCTGAAAACGTAATACTTGGACTTCACTAATTTTTTAGTGATTTTTAGTTTAGTTTAGAGAGTTTTCGAACAACAGAATTAGTACCATTGTCTTTATAAATTGTACCAGGCCTTAACTGTAATATTTTGTTTAATATCATTTAACCGACTAAGGGCGCAAAACAACGCAGGACACTAGCACTGCAAAAAGACGGAAAACTTGACACAAACCCTATACCAACCCACCTGGCCAGCGTGGTATAGTAGGCCAAAACCTTCTTTCTAAGGAGAGGCCTATGTCCAGCAGTGGACTATTAAAGGCTGTTGATGTGAAACGTTGTTGCAGAATTTTTTTAATAGTTTTAAAGCTATTCCCCCACTCATCGACAATCAACGAGCTTGGTTAAGGTAGATATACTAAACAGTTTAGTAACAGAACCAGTTGTTATTGTATAATTAAAAACGACGAACTGCCTATAAAAAGTTTATAATGCTATTACGAAATTTAAGCCATCCTAGCATGGGCAATGGTACGCGTCTGCTTGTAAAGGAATTGAGGGACAAAATTATTGTAGCGACAATAATCACTGGCCCCACAGCCGGTCAGTTAGCGCACGGATTCCTATGATCCCTACCGATTTGCCAATACCCTTCAAAAATACCACTTTTGACTCCTGGGTTTATGGGCGGCGATAGTCACTTTCCATCAGGTGACCCGCCTGCTCGTCTGCCACCTCTAACATAAAAAAAAAATTCAAGACGAAAGTGTTGAAAATGCTTTTGCAAAACTGTGTTGCTATCTGTGTGATTAAAATACCATTAATATTATAATCTATTTACCATTACCCAAATTTATTTGGAGTCGGTGCAATGATTTCTTTAATTCTTCTCTATCAGAAAGAAAGAAAGAAAAAACGTTTATTTTGGCAATAATACAACAGTTTTAACATGTTTGTATTACCAACAATGCCAAAAACGTACCCAATTCAGCATTGTGATGCTGGTTTTCAATTTGGCCCAAAATGATGGTATGCGTAAAAAAACAGTTGCAGATCTTAATTGCTACGCCGTATATGACGGATTAAGTATAGTGAATGTCACTACCTACCTGACTACACTACCTGACTAAGGGCGCAAAACAACGCAGGACACCAGCACTGCAAAAATAAAAACTTGACACAAACCCTATACCAACCCGTCTGGCCAGCTTGGTATAGTAGGCCAAAACATCCTTTCTAAGGAGAGGCCTATGTCCAACAGTGGATTATTAAAGGCTGTTGATGTGATACATACATCATAAGATTAATCACTGCTTCCTCCCTTTCTAGCCATATCCTCTTTTTCTCTTATTATCTTCTTCTCTTATATCCATTAACTTCCACACCTAAGACTTTCTTCACTACATTTTGATCATCTCTACGCATTACATGTCCATACCAGGACAACTAGTTGATTCTCAACTTTTCATCCACTGGTACTCTATCTCTAATAGAGTCATTCCTCATCATGTCCATCCTATTCACACCACCCATCCATCTTAAATTAAACGCATAAATAAAATTACCTGACACTGGGTCTCCGGGTCAGCATAATAACCAGGTAACTTGTCATCACATGTGAATGTTAATCCTTTTGGCACTTCAGTATACGCTGGGTAATCTTCGCCGGCAACATAACCGTCTAAACCCTGAAAATAAAGAATGTTTTATTAGTAGTAAGTAGGTTAGGACATTGACTGCACGGATGGCGTAGTGGTTTAAGCGGTCGCCACGCCCGCGCCGCTTCCTACTACGCCGTGGTTCAAACCCCACATGGGACGACACTTTTTGTGATCCACAAATTGTTGTTCTGAGTCTGGTTGTTCTTTGTATCCGTTTCATGTCATCATCATCATCATCATCACATCAACAGCCTTTACTAGTCCACTGCTGGACATAGGCCTCTCCTTAGGAAGGAGGTTTTGGCCTACTATACCACGCTGGCCAGACGGGTTGGTATAGGGTTTGTTTCAAGTTTTCCTTCTCTCTGCAGTGCTGTTGTCCTGCGTAGTTTGCTCCCTTAGTCGGCTCTTACGACACCCACGGGATGAATAGGGGTGGTGACACTCTGTATTCTTAATCCGTCACCACACGGACATCCGTCACCACACGGACATGTACGTCCGTTTCATGTACTCGTATGTTTATAAAGTCCCCCGCGACACAGAATATATTCCTAATGCGGGAAAAAAATATTGCAAATTTTCGCAAACCTAGTCAGATCAGTTTATGTATGGATTTATTGATATCTTATTGATTTAATTCTTTATTTCATGACATTTTATTGTATTGACTTTAGTGGCTATTTATGTGTGATTGTATGAATAATTAGTTATTTGTAATTTATTTAAATAAGTTGATGTATTGTATTGTATAATGATGCCCTGTAGTATGTATATCCATCCATGCACTAGATGGACACATGAACTGGTAAAGGTAGCAGGAGAAAATTGGATACACTTGGTTAGACACAAAGAAAGATGGAAGTCCCTAGAGGAGGCTTTTACTCGAAGGGGGTCCATAAAAGCCAAGACAAAATAATAACCAAAGTGAATTAATTTTATCTGATCATAATGCAATTGAAATTATTTCAAAAGAATTGTTTTTATTATATAATAATCCAATTGTATTGTAATAGGCTAAATGGAATTAAATAAAGCTTTATTATTGTATAATGATGCTCTGTAGTCTGTATATCTAGTCAAATAGCATATAAGCGTTTTGGTGGTGAGACTGTGAGCTCAAAATGCTACTCAAATAAAAAAAAGGTCCAATTCATTCAGTGGGTGTCGTAAGAGCCGACTAAGGGAGCAAACTACGAAGGACATCAGCACTACAAAGAGAAGGAAAACTTGAAACAAACCCTATACCAACCCGTCTGGCCAGCGTGGTATAGTTGGCTAAAACCTCCTTTCTAAGGAGAGGCCTATGTCCAGCAGTAGACTATTAAAGACTGTTCATGATGATGATGAAATAACACACACATGGAGAACCCTCCGTGCTTTGAAGGACACGTTAAGCTGTCGCTCCCGATTGCCATACGATCATCTGAAGCCATCGTTGCGGGTACTTCGAGGGTTGTGGAGGTCTGGAGGCTTGGAGTCATACAACTGTTCATCCCTCATTTTATTTTTTATGTTAGAGGGGGCAGACGAGCAGACGGGTCACCTGATGGAAAGTGACTATCGCCGCCCATGAACGTCCACGAACGTCGAACTCAGGAGTCACAAACGCGTTGCCGGCCTTTTAGGAAGGAGTATCGGTAGATATATATCGGTCCAGAAATACCGCAGATGATAACCCGTTCCACAGATTGGTTGTGCGGGGCAAAAAGTGTCTCGAAGTAGTGGAGCGCCAACTATCCAGGTGATGAGGATTTTTTTTTTTATACGCCCTTATATATAATTTCTTGTTAGTTGTATAGTTTGTACTTACGACATATAAAACATGAGGTGCCATTATGTTTATCAGTTAGGATATGTCATTTTATATGTAGACTAGCTGAGACCCGCGGTGTTACCCGCGTTTGTTGTTATAACCGCGGGCAACGCCGCACGGCGAAGCTAGTCTAAAAAAAGTAACCTAAATTACTCCTTATGTCATCAGCTACCTGCTAGTGAAAGTCCTGTCGAAATCGGTCCAGCCGTTCCAAAGATTACCCGGAACAAACAGACAGACAGACAGACAAAAATTGAAAAAAATGTTATTTTGGCATATGTACCGTGTTAACATACATATGCATTTAGTAAAAAGCGGTTATTTTAATATTACAAACAGACACTACAATTTTATTTATTTGTATAGATAGATAGCAACCGTGTGGTGACGGATTAAGAATACAAATTGTCACCACCCCAATTCATCCCGTGGGTGTCGTAAGAGCCGACTAAGGGCGTAAAACAACGCAGGACACCAGTACTGCAAACCCTATACCAACCCGTATGGCCAGCGTGGTATATTAGGCCAAAACCTCCTTTCTAAGGTAAGGCCTATGTAAAGCAGTGGACTAGTATAGGCTGTTGATGTATAGATAGATGTATAGATATGTACAAAATAATATTTCGACCAATTAAGTACATACTTTTGTAGTGGTTAAAAAGCACGTGCGTATAGTTTTCTTTTTAATTTTCCAGTAGAAAAAAAACGCTCCTTCAATTACCGGCCTGTTGGTCTAGTGGTTGGTGACCCTGACTGCTAAACCGGAGGTCATGGGTTCGTGTCACCCAGGACAAGTAATTGTGTGATGAGCACAACCGTTTGTTCTGTGTCTAGGTGTAATTTATCTATGATATGTGTGTATTTAGAAATATATAAGTATGTTTATCAGCGGTCTGGTTACCATAGTACAGGCTCTGCCTAGTTTGGAATCAGACAGCCGTGTGTGTGATGAGTGAGGTTATTAATTAAACGTGCAACATCTAGTTATAATCTTAGAAGATAATCTCATTATAATCACACCGCATTTATGATCTATAATTACAACATAATTCGATCAAATGACAATTAAAACATAATTAGTTTGTGCTGTTTAAATAGATTTAATTGTTAATTGGTATATTTTTTTCTATTAAAAATATTTTCCTTTGGCATCATTTATTATTTATACACACGAGTATTGATGTAAGTGTATTTATGTGTAACATCCCTTACAAACCCCTTGTGGTTTTGGGAATGTTTCACATCATCACATCAACAGCCTTTAACAGTCCACTGCTGGACATAGGCCTCTCCTTAGAAAGGAGGTTTTGGCCTACTATACCACACTGGCCAGATGGGTTGGTATAGGTATATGGTACTTAGGTTTTTTTCAAGCTCACACGATTATTTACACGATACCTATGCCTAAAAACCAGTTTAAAAACTTGTTAAAATTTTGCCCGATCCGGGAATCGAACCTACTAAGGCAGCGAGTCGCGGGTTCGATTCCCGGACCGGGCAAAATTTTAAAGGGTTTTCCAAGAGGCAAAATAGCATAAGTTACTCCTTATATATACGCTGTCTAATAAACCTTGTAGTATAATTCGATAATCTAATTATATTACGTAGATTAAACACAACGAATAACTATGTTACACGTTATTCATTGAGTGTTCACATCATCACAACAACAGCCTTTACTAGTCCACTGCTGGACATAGGCCTTACCTTAGAAAGGAGGTTTTGGCCTACTATACCACGCTGGCCAGACGGGTTGGTATAGGGTTTGTGTCAAGTTTGCCTTCTTTTTGCAGTACTGGTGTCCTGCGTTGTTTTGCGCCCTTAGTCGGCTCTTACGACACCCACGGGATGAATTGGGGTAGTGACATTCCGTATTCTTAATCCGTCACTACACGGACGGATTATTGTAAAATATTGTAGTGTTTTTTAGAGAAAAAAAATACTAGCTTTTGTAGTAAAGTAGCCTATGTTACTCGCCGATAATGCAGCTTTTTTTTAAATCGGTTTAGTGATATAAGCGTGAAAGCGTAACAAACAAACAAACTCACTTTTAAATTTAAAAGCATGGATTAAGAAGTGTATCCGCCAGGTCTCAAACGGGAAGAGTTAAAACAGTTCATCTGTAAAAATTAGTTTAAAATAAACTCTTGAGAGAGCCGTGCTTCAGCACAATGGGCTCGACCGGAGTGATTCCATGGCCTCACGGAAAACCGGTGTTAAAATTTTTTTTTTGCTTTTCACGAAGTGAATGAGGTTGACTGACTCGATAGTGCAGTGGTAGCGTATGCGACTGCTGTGCTGAGGTCTCGGGTTCGATTTGTATGATCTGCAAATATTTGTTTCTACAAATGGAGTTTAGGTGTTTTCTATGTGTAATATGCATGTATTTGTAAAAAGTATATGAGTTTTTTTTTGTTAAGAAAAACAACTGGGGGACTTTACAAACATACATTAAACGGACACAAAGTACACCCAGACTCAGAACAACAATTTGTGGATAAGTATTCTATCAGTCAATCTAGCTTTTATAGTACAAGCTCTGCTTAGTTTGAAACAAGATGGCGTTGTGTGCCACATGTCTGAAAATATCATCATTATTATTTTTACCGGAGCCCAAATATTTTCTCCAAATTCTGCGGCGAGGACTTGAAAATGTGCCAACGTACTTGTGACTCTTTGTACCAAAAATTGTCCGTGTGGTGACGGATTAAGAATACGGAGTGTCACCAGCCCCTATTCATCCCGTGGGGGTCCTAAGAGCCGACTAAGGGTGCAAACTACGCAGGATAACAGCACTGTAATGAGAAGGAAAACTCTAAAAAAAAACCTATAACAACCCGTCTGGCCAGCGTGGTATAGTAGGCCAAAACCTCCTTTCTAAGGAGAGGCCTATGTCCACCAGTGGACTATTAAAGGCTGTTGATGACGATTCTGTACTAAAAATTGAGTGGTGGACGTATTTGAATGCCTTTAAATGACTTGTTTAATTTTTTGATCGGCAGCAGACACTTTTCGGTAGTAAAAGTTGGGTTTCGAACCCGGAACCTCGTGTAAGCATGTACCGCGTAAAGTGTCATTCCAATGCAAACCTGTTTAACAGTCATTAGCTAATTAAACATGCGGCAATTACGTGATCGCGTGCTACAATCGCTGCGAATAATGGTTACGATATATATTTTTTTTATTGTTAATAGCCACTGTTGGTAATTTCTAATTTATAGAGTGACCATCTTTAAATAAAAAGTCACAGTGGCGGAGCTGTTAGTTAAGTGATTAGTGATTTTGATTGCTAAACCCACACACAGTGTCCGTGTGGTGACGGATTAAGAATACAAATTGTCACCACCCCAATTCATCCCGTGGGTGTCGTAAGAGCCGACTAAGGGAGCAAACTAAGCAGGACAACAGCACTGCAAAGAGAAGGAAAACTTGAAACAAACCCTATACCAACCCGTCTGGTCAGCGTGGTATAGTAGGCCAAAACCTCCTTTCTAATGAGAGGCCTATGTCCAGCAGTGGACTAGTATAGGCTGTTCATGATGATTGATGAAACCCACACACAGAAGAAATGGTCGTGCTCTCCATCCGTTCCCTCCAAGCCTTTTTCCCAAACTGGGTTGGGGTCGGCTTCAAGGCTACTACGATACGGCTGGACGTCGATTTTTTACCCTCAGCGACTCCCATCAGACCTCCATAACTCAAGTACTAGGCGAAACCGAAGTCCTACAGAAATACTGTTGTCGGACTTTTTAGGGCTCCCGTTACGATTACCACAGATCTTCGTACAGCAACCGGGGAATGATTCTCACACAATTATTTGTTCTATGTGGGAATCAAACCCACGACTACTAGCTGAGCAGTTAGAATCACTAACCACTGGGCTAACAGACCCGTATTTTTTTTTTCTAAAAAAGACAACTCCCGCACTAGGAATAAATCCTTTACAAACACACATGAAACGGACACAAAGAACACCCAGACTCAGAACAACAATTTATGGATCACACAAAGTGTCGTCCTATGTGGGGATCGGACCCACAACACTCAGCGTAGTACCACTACGCCATCCGTGCAGTCAATTTCCATCATATATTATAACATTATCAAAAAAGTATTTAGTTGAATAGGATCTGACAGAATGTTTTGACCAGTCGTAAAGAGATTTAAAAGACTAAAAACACTTCATTTATTTAAAAAAAAAACAATTAAATAAAGAAGTACAAGTTACTACATTAATGATAGCAGTTTTTAATCATCATATCTGTTATCTATTGTATTCTTTATCTATTATTGATCACATAATTGCAGTTCTTTTAATGAGATACAATGAATCTATAAACCGATAACCGGATAATGAGATTATATTGTCTACACAACTGGGCCTCAATTCTGCTATTTTATGTTCACGCCAAGCCACTGTCATACCACTGACACGCACGGCACCAAATATGGCAATCTTTTTGATATCACCACTGATGAGCCACTGCCATTTCATCGCCGCTGTAAAGACACTGAGTTAGTGTAGACTACCGATATTTATACCGATACCAATGGCCACTCGATGGCATCTCAATAGCGTGTCAGTGGTATGACAGTGGCTTGGCGTGAACATAAAATAGCAGAATTGAGGCCCAGTAAACTTGCCAATTTGATCTAACCATAGTAAATTGGCCAATTTTTGTTTTTTTTTACTTGTTGAAACCCCCTCGGGCCGTCACCCCACCGGGGTTTGCGGCAGGGTGGTGTGTCGGAATCGGACCGACTAAAACCACACGGTGTGCCACTCTGAGCCTGTTATTGTAGGGATTCGGGAACTGCTGTTATTAATACATCCGGACCTAATTGGCCAATCTTCGTTAACCTCCAAAATATTAATAAATTCTTGTTTTTAATAATATAATCTTTAGGGACATTTGGTTTTAACCAATAAATTAACCTCCTCCTACATCAAACCTCCTTTCTAAGGAGAGGCCTATGTCCAGCAGTTGACTGTTATAGACTGTTGATGATGAATCAATTTAAAACATGAAAAGTATATGTAAAAACGCTGATTTACAGTATTAGTACTGTAAATTTGACATTTGCAGATTGGATGCAATGCAATTTGGATCAACTCAACAAAAATAAGTTATAGTGTATCAAATCATTCATCAAGATTGCATTTTCGGACCTGTTGATCTAGTCGTTAGTGACCCTAACTGCTAAGCGGGCCGCTCCGCACTATACGGCCACCTGATCCTAAGTTAGACGCAGTTTGTAAAAAGAATGCTGCGGGCTGAGTGCAAGTTTATTTCACATCGCCTCAGGACGGCGAGCGCGTTTAAGGTTGCAATTGGTTAAGATTTCAGTGCGGGCCAATCGCAGCGCCTGAAGCGAAGTAGAAGTGAAATAAACTCGCACTTGGCCCTCTGATAAACATCCTCATCGAAGGAAGGAACGAACGAAGGCCTCCTCCGACGAGCCCCAACTAATCCGGTCTGATAAAGATATTAATAATAAATGATACCCAGACACAAAACAAATGACACAATTTTTGTGCTCATTACAAAATTATTTGTCTTAGATGGGAATCGAACGCATCCGAGCTATTTTATAATTCACAACAGGCTAGTTGACTCAATTTGAAACTTGGTTAATTATATACTTTAATAGCTATTTTATCTCAAAAAACCTATATTTTAAAGAAAAAGCAATATTTACATTACGTATTTTGCATTAAAAAAAACAATCTAAATTTCCCTTGAAAACGCTGAATAGCGTCATGGCGTCTTGAATGACGTCACAGTCTGCGAAACGAAACTGTTTACCAGTCCAGTGTCAACTGAAACTGTATTAAGGTGAGATAATATGCTAAAAACGAAAAACAATAAGTAATAACCTGCTCTGTTGTATGAAAACGTCAACAATGATGTTTTGCGTGGTGTGACGTTACACTTTCTGATTGGTGTTCGCTGTCACGTGACTTAATGACTATTTCGTTCTATTTTTTTTTTAATATTAATAATCTTTAACTTTTATGAGAAATAGACTGGTGTTTTTTTTTAAACTATAAACCGAGCAATTTGTTATTAGTGGAAACAAGCCTATTAGCTACATTAAATAAGTATTCAGTGCGTCTTTCTAATTAAACTTTTTACTTACTGCTAAAGATTTGTCGATGAGATAGAAGAGTACAGCCAACAGTCCAAGAGATCCTATTTTGATACCACACAGGTGTTTATGATGTGCCATGTTGATTATTTATATTTTTATGTCTCACTGCTAAACCTGGAACAAATGAAAGTCAAGATTAATACCTGGTCTGATGATGAGTTGCTTTTTAGGGCTTCTTAGTCCTAATAAAGAGCCCTTATGGTTTCGCTATTTTGTCTGTCTGTCCATCAGCCCATACTCAGCTTAGCATTGCTGTGGCTGTAAGTACTAGAAAGTTATAATTTTTAAACGCCAATTTGGTAAAAAATCTTTAAAAAATTGGGGTAACTTAACTCACTCAGTGAAAAACCACAAAACATTTCCTTTACACCAGTTACACCTGCTTGTATAAAAACTTACATTTCAAAGAAGATTTAGTACGAGGTAAGACGGCCTTCTATAAAATAAACCAGCCAAAACCCTTTGGAATGTAGTACGTAATGTCATTTTATAAATGGCTCCTGTGATGATGTTTTTTTATCTAAGAGGGGACAAACGAGCAGACGAGTCACCTGAGGAAAAGCGACATCCACCGCCCATGAACGCCTGCAACTCAGAAGTCACAAGCGCGTTACTGGCCTTTGTGGAAGGAGTACGCTCTTTTTTAAGGTCGTATCGGTCTGGAAATACCGCAAACGAAAACTTGTTTCACAGATTGGTTGTACGAGCCAAAAAGTGACTTGAAAAGTGTTCCAATTATCCAAGTGCTGGGATGAAAATTTTGCAGCGTCGGACGATGGCGGAAAGTTGCGGCTGATACTAGTCCGCACAAGTCCTCGGAGCACTCTCCATGATATATACGATAGAGAATGCAGAATAAAGGTACATCTCTACGAAAAAAACAGAGATCTTGTGGCTATCGACGATTCGAGCCGCTCTTCTTTGGATACGGTCCAGAGGGAGAAGCTGGTACTAAGGTGGCCTTGCATAGAGATGAGAACAGTATTCCATATGATGATCTAAACTTGTATACATCCAAGGTCGCCGTATTGAAGCTCAACATACCGTTATATGTGTTTCCGCAACTGACGAATTCACATGTCTTTATGGTTAATTATATTTCATTCCTATATAATTATCATAACAATGACATGTTCTATGGGATTTTGTTTGTAACATTACAATATAACAAGTTCCCATGTAGTGTTAGTTTTTATTAAACATTGAGTTTATTCCTTCCATGGCTACGGGTAAGGAAAACTTGCAGATCGAATATGTAGCAATACGGTAATTGACGCACACATCAATTTTGTGTATTTTTTTTAAACGTCAATTGTCTGTCTGGTGACGGATTAAGTCACCACCCCTATTCATCCTATGGGTGTCGTAAGAGCCGACTAAGGGAGCAAACTATGAAGGACAACTGCACTGCAAAGAGAAGGAAAACTTGAAACAAACCCTATACCAATCCGACTGGCCAGCGTGGTATAGTAGGCTAAAACCTCCTTTCTAAGGAGACGTCTATGTCCAGCAGTGGACTATTAAAGGTTGTTGATGATGATGATGATATTAAACGTCAAAACGATATGTTCTGTAGAACGCGTGTATTTATACATAACGTGCTGTACCCTGCCACGATTCGCTGTGGCACATTGAAATTGCATTAATGTGAAATGAGGATCAAAACTGGCGCAAAAATATCAAACCAAACATTGAAGAGCGGATGGGAGCAAGACCGAAAAATGTGTAACAAGACTTTTTTCCGACACTTCTTGCTATATATACATCGCCGTGAAGTTCGTTCCGACCTGGGGTCCATAGGGCCTATGGACCCCAGGTCCACGCCGTTGTTAGGCTATAGGCAGGCAAACGAGCAGACAGGTCACCTGATGTTAAAAGAGTACCGCAATCCATGGTCACTATTGCGTTTCTGTTCTGTGCGTCCCCCTCCCCTCTCCCCACAGAATAAGACGATTTGGACTCCGGTAACCTACCGAACTGTCCGTGTGGTGACGGATTAAGAATACAGATTGCCACCACCCCTATTCATCCCGTGGGTGTCGTAAGAGCCGACTAAGGGAAAAACTAAGAACAGAACAACAGCACTGCAGAGAGAAGGAAAACTTGAAACAAACCCTATACCAACCCGTTTGGCCAGCGTGGTATAGTAGGCCAAAACCTCCTTTCTAAGAAGAGGCTTATGTCCAGCAGTGGACTATTAAAGGCTATTGATGAACCTACTGAACACCAGTATTCTGTGAGGCCAGATCACTCCGGTCAAGCCTGCATGGATTTCCCATAGTAAAATTGTATAATATCTAGTTATATCGGGCAATATGAATATGGGATTGGAATACCATACACTCATACGTGTCTTCTAAATGAATACTAGTAACTTTCAACTAACAGCTACTAACTAAAAAGCCGTGTGGTGTCGTGGGACACCCGATAGGAACGAAGTTGTGACGATCGAGTAAAACTGATTTGACACGATTTTAATTACAACGCCATCTATGAAAGCGGCTATTACCTACATATTAAAAACAATTAAAACAATTTATACATTGGTAAAATCTCCTTGCGAAATGATTTCCTATCTATTCGATAGATGGCGCTGAATGTCTGACAAGATGACACGAAAATAAAGAGCAAAAAGCCAACATCACGTGGTATTCCCAGGCGGTCACCCATCCAAGTACTAACCACGCCCGATGTTGCTTAACTTCGGTGATCGGACGAGAACCGGTGTATTCAACATGGTATAGACGTTGGCGAACGTTAAAGCAAATTTAATGTATGGTATCCACAGTTAGACGTCAATTTATATTAAAAGTGGCGTGACCAATTTTCATAAGATTTTTTTCCGTCTAGCCCCCTTTCACAACGCGCGATAAGGAACTTCGTTCCAAAAACTACAAACAACTTTTAAATAACTAATATCCGTATCAAGGTTGTCTGGAAGAGATCGCCGTGAGCGATAAGACCGCCGATTGTTACGTCTATATATTTGTAATGTCTTATGTTTTAACTGTGAACAATATATCTATACTAATATTATAAAGCTGAAGAGTTTATTTGTTTGTTTGTTTGAACGCGCTAATCTCAGGAACTACTGGTCCGATTTGAAAAATTCTTTCAGTGTTAGGTAGCCCATTTATCGAGGAAGGCTATAGGCTATATATCATCACGCTAAGACCAATAGGAGCGGAGCGCCAATGAAGAATGTTTCAAAAACGGAGAAAATTTATTACTATTGAGAGACGCAGACGAAGTTGCGCGGGTCAGCTAGTAATATATATAAATAAATAAACTTTCTTTGTAGATGAGAAATTTTAAAAGTAAAAGGCCCAAGTTACATTATTTTAATTTACTCTGAATGTCTTAAGAAATAGTTGAAACAGCGTTCATTGTTACCATTCTCTTAACTACATCTGTGAGAAATATTTTGCAAAACTTAATTTAAATCTTTCAACATTTTAGCACAGATGTTGTTCGTGACGAAATAAATACAAAACTGAGATTAAGGAAGGTACTATCACGATATGAAAAGAACCCGAGATCGCATAGTGGTCGAATTTCTTCTATAGTTAAATTTTTAGTCATGAATAGCGCTGACGAAAAATCGTGAAATTGATGTAGACATCTTCTCAAACAGTCTTCCAAAATTTAAAAGTAAAGTTATTGCGTCATTTGGACCTTAGATCATCACTGTCTTTAATTAATTTCGATGATGTTCTGTATGTTTTGTTTGTATTATTATAGATATTGCATTGTAGTCTTAGATGCAACTGTCCCTTACCATGCCGTGGCAACTTGTAAGTAAGACAACACTCAGAAAATATTTGTAAAACATGTTTGTAAATTATGTATTAGTGTATGTTTTGTAAGTTGTCCTATATAAATAAATAAATAAAATAAATAACATATTTTTTTATTATAATAACAATAAAACAAAAAACCGGTGTTAAGCAATTCTTTCGTTGCCTTTAACTAAGTGAGTGAGGTTACCGGGGCCCAAATCCCCCCTCCCGCTGACTCGAGCGGGAGGGACTCCAAGGGCTGCAACGCATTTGTGACTTTTGAGTTGCAGGTGTCCATGGGCGGCGGTGACCTGTCTGTTCGTTTCCCCCTTTATACCATAAAAAAAATCGTATCATGACAGGTCAACACAAGGTATATTCCGGTCCTATAACTTCTTGTAGGGTTCGACTGCACGGATGGTGTAGTGGTTGAAGCGATCGCCACACCGCTTTCTACTACGCTGAGTGTTGTGTTGTGGGTTCGATCCCCACATAGGACGGCACTTTGTGCGATCTACAAATTGTCGTTCTGAGTCTAGGTGTTTTTTGTGTCCGTTTCATGAATGTTTAAAGTCCCCCGCGATACAGTATATATTCCTAGTTCTGACTTCTCAAAAAAAAACAAACAAAAAAGAAAAATCATAAGACAAATTCAAACAAGTATACAGTAAATACATATTTATACTAATGAGAGAAAACAGTCATAGTGCAATGCAGAATCAGTAAGTACTTAGTAGTTCCGACTCAACTTGACTAGATGGCGCTATTCTGCACATATTATATGTTGTTATAGGTTCTTTGCTATGTTACTGCTAAGGTGTACCTGACCCTCTATTTTGCTTGCGTGACCTTGAATATGAATGAAGCTCGTAACCTTTTTAACTGATACCAAGTAACCTTGATTACTGAATGAATGAATAAAAATTGAATGAGCTGACGTAGATTTTATGAAAACAGTCATTTGTCAGCTGATATTAGCAGCAACAGCATGAATTATTTTTATTATTAGCACGCATTTTAGGGTTCCGTAGTATGACTACGAACCCTTAAAAGCGTGATAACCCGAACTCTAAAATGTTACGGCGTACACGTAGTAGACATATGTTTTTTTATTACTCGGCTATCACGTGTTATGGAGCGTTTTTTTATATATAAAGTATATATAATACGTGTGGTGACGGATTAAGAATACGGAGTGTCACCACCCCTATTCATCCCCTGGGTGTCGTAAGAGCCGACTAAGTGGGAAAACGCAGAACAACAGCACTGCAGAGAGAAAGAAAACTTGACACAAACCCT